GAATAAATATAATTTTTTTTTTTTTGTTATTGAAAACTTATGGTGCAAACATTTAATTATATATAATAGACTGTTGGAGAAAGATTATTTATATTTGTATATTTATGATATTGGGGGTCAGTGGACCAGCAGGTAAAGCGCTGGTCTTCGAACCGGAAGGCCCGGGTTCAAATCCCAGGCTCGCCGAGAAAAAGAAACGGTCCAAATCTCCACCATTTCTATGCTCTATCGCTCACTTAACAATAGTCACAAATTTTGGCTCCCCGGATTCGCACATCCTCTCGCCCACGTCATTATGGACACAATAATAGAACTTTCGTCGCTCCTAGGTGGCGCTAGGTGGCAACCCCACCGCTAGGATAAGTCGCTACTGGCTGAGTGAATCCTCTACAAAAATTGTAGAGGCTCAATGCTCCCGGGTGGAGTGATAAATTTTTTACATTTTTTTTTTTATTTATGATATTAAACATTCATTTGCCGTGATTTAAGAGACCAGGGCTTAAAGTCAAATGTTGATTTGTTCAGTTCGTTTAAAATGTTTCCCTTAATTTTATGAATTTTTATCCGTTCATTTAATATCCGTTAACCCACAGCAGTGCTGTTGTATGTAAATCACAGCACTCTTTTATTATCTAACAAGAAAGGAAGCTAGCTTCGGCAAGCCAAAGCTTATATCCCTTGCAGTCATCAAACATGTCGAACAAAATCAATAAAGGCTTAAAAGTTTCAATGTTGAACTATATCGATTTTTTTTTATTAAGTTTCTATATTTTCGACGATTGTTCATATGAAAGCTTTATGATATAGTCGTCTGATTCTTTTGAAATTTAATTGGAAATTCAAGAGTCATTAGAAAACACTATACTTCAAAAATTATGCTTGTCTGATGAAAAACAACGATGTATCCATGATACAATTATACAAGGTAGTCCACTCGGCAGCCGAAGTCGTTCGGGTTTGGTCCCTTATTTTCAGTGCGTGCCTGCTTGTCGTATTGTTGTTGTATAGTTGTATTGCGTATTAGTCCCCTAATTTGCCGAGTGGACTACCTTGTATAATTGTATCATGATTGTACCATGGTGTGTCGACCACGACGTTGCTGTGCTTGTTGTTGTTATTGCAGTAACGTCTACCGAAGGCTACTACCGAAGTAGTAGAGATTGCCCAAGCTGACGTCAGTGTATCGAGTGGAGAGAGGGGAGAAGGGCATTGTGAGCTCCATGATTGAGTAGCGGCAGCGCCGTATGGCCTTAGATCTCGGGGCGTTAGAAAGCGGACTTCTTCGGGCGTCGAGGGCATTCCATTACTTTATGGCTCTGGTTAGACATACAAAAAGTACACGTTATTCTGTGCAACGCGGAGTCAGCGCTCGTCTTGTTGTTGTCTTTCGGGGTTTTGACATGTCGGCTTACCGGGTGCACCAATTATTGACTTGGTTGCCGGAATTAGTTGAGATTTCGTTTTATTTGTTTTGGATGTTAAATTGGTAGGGTATCAATACACTTGCTATTTGGCATTGCTGGCAGCGACATTTCGCTAAGACGAACACACTAGCGGAACGGAAAGAAAAACACGACTACTCTCACTGACTGCCATTTACTGCCTCTGGGGCAGCCCTGCTTGAGGCACGAAGTATTTTGAGGGGTCCTGGCGTGAGGTTCTGTGTAAGGCAACCTGGCGCCAATTAGAACGAGAGTGCGAATCTGCTAGGGTGTGGAGCTGCAGGAAGGGCTATGTCTGACCTGTTCGCGATACACTTCTTGCTTAGCCCCACTAGGGAGGTCTAACCTAACAAGCAAGCTTCTGACTAAAATTATAATACCCTTTTGCTCTGCAAAGGTATACAAATGCTACCGTCGATGTATAAAGTTTTATAAAGTTTTTTATGTCTCTTGAATTTCGAATTCAATTTCATAAATCGTTGAAAATATAGAAACTAAATATTACATGAAAGGAAGCTAGCTTCGGAAAGCCGAAGCTTATATACCCTTGCAGTAATGTCGAACCAAACCATCGAAGCTTTGTCGATTTTCTATGAAGTTTCTGTATTTTCGACGATTGTTCACATGAAAGCTATATGCTAAAGTCGTCCGATTTTTATGAAATTGTTTTCAAAATTCTAGTATCATTACAAATTTCTTTATTTCCAAAATTATACTTTTCAGATGAAAAACAACGATGTTATCATTTTTTTTCCGTCCAATTCCGTTAATTCTATAAGATTTTTCGATCTTTCCTATAATAGCTAGCAGTCTTGGGATAAAAAACAACGACGTTATAATTTTTTTTATTATTTATCTATATATTTTCGATCTTTCCTATAGCAGCTATATGATAGAGTTATCCGATTTTAAAAAATTTAATATGAAATTCGATAGTAAATAAAAAACACCATCTTAAAAAAAATTAAAATCTCTAGTATGGGAGCTATCCGATATAGTCGCCCGATCCGGCCCGATCCCACTTATATACTGCGTGCAATAACTACACAACTTTTGGAATAGTTTCAGGAAGATAAATTTAAAACTGAGAGACTAGTTTACATAGAAACAGACAGACGGACAGACGTACATACGTATTTCGATTCAGATGGTGATGCTGATCAAGAATATATATACTTTATGGGGTCTGAGGTGTCTTCTTCGCTGCGTTGCAAACTACTGACTGAAATTATAATACCTTTTGCTCTGCAAGGGTATAAATATATACAGAATTAACGGAAATAATGATTTTTGGAATATAGAGTTTTCTAACGACTCTTGAATAACAAATAAAATTTCATCAAAATCGGAGGACTATATCATATAGCTGCCATATAAACAATAGTCAAAAATATGGAAAGTTAATAGAAAAGTCGTAGTAGCTTCGATGTTGTTTAGCCTTTGTGTATTCTGTTCGAAATATTTGCGGACTGCAAGGGTATATAAGCTTCGGCGTGCCGAAGCTAGCTTCGTTTCTTGTTTTTTATTCATATAAAATATATTTTAAAACCCACAGAAAGGATACATATTCTTGAGCTTCACCATTCCAATCGATTAAATATAAATGCAAATATTCAGCGAGCCAAAGTTAATACATTATGAAAACGACTAATCTAGGCTACTTCACTGGATTTATCGAATTTTCTATCAATTTTTCTTATTTCTTTGGCAAGTATTCGATATTGAAGCTCTATCCTTAAAGAAATATAATTTTCGAGCATTATGCATGAATTCTACATCGATTGTACATAACTACATCGAAGATATAACGATTTTTCTTTTAACTAACCACTGCAGTGCACTGCAAAGTGTTGTGCAACGCAGTTATATTTTCAATATATTATATTAATATAATAATATTGCATAATGATTATAATAAAGAGTATTCTAACGACTCGTAAACTACGAACTAAATTTCATACAAGTTTATCGACTAGATCATATATCTGTCATAGGAACAATCGTTGAATCTGTAGAAAATTATTAGAAAAACTGTCATAGCTTCGATGCTGTTAAGTTATTTTTAGGAGACGTCATCAGCAGTACACGTAGAAGCTGACTTTTTTATGTGTAGCTAACATTTTCGTTGGGGCTAGCCGAGTTGAGCAGAAAATTGAAAAAATTGTCCGAGTTGAGCAGAAACGATTTTTGGACATAAAAAATGAACGTCCGAGTTGAGCATAAAACCGATAACGGTAAAAAAAAAAAAACATCCGAGTTGGGCAAAACCAATGTCAGAGATGCGTCAAAATCATTACTTATTCATATAATTATTACATATTTATTATTCATTTATTTGCAAATAATTATTACTTAATAATCATATATCATATATGATTATTAAGTAATTTTTCTAAAAAAACTAAATTAAAAACTGAAAAAATAACCTTTTTTTTGAGAAAAATTACTTAATAATCATATAGCATATGTATCAATGCAGTAATTTTTCAATTAATTATCAATTAAGTAATTTTTCAAAAAAAAAAAACTAAACTGAAAACTGAAAAAAGAACCATTTTTTTGAAAAATTAAATTATTTAATTAATAATGATTTTGTGGCATCTCTGACATTGGTTTTTTATGTGGAAAAGGCGTTCATGCGCAACTCGGATGTTTTTATTTTTTTTTACCGTAATCGGTTTTCTGCTCAACTCGGACGTTCATTTTTTATGTCCAAAAATCGTTTCTGCTCAACTCGGAATTTTTTTTTACCGTAATCGGCTTTCTGCTCAACTCGGTATCGCCCCTAGCGCGCTCTCGCAGTTAAAACTTAAGCCCATAAAACGAAAAGGGCGATACCGAGTTGAGCAGAAAGCCGATTACGGTAAAAAAAAATCCGAGTTGAGCAGAAACGATTTTTGGACATAAAAAATGAACGTCCGAGTTGAGCAGAAAACCGATTACGGTAAAAAAAAATAAAAACATCCGAGTTGCGCATGAACGCCTTTTCCACATAAAAAACCAATGTCAGAGATGCCACAAAATCATTATTAATTAAATAATTTAATTTTTCAAAAAAATGGTTCTTTTTTCAGTTTTCAGTTTAGTTTTTTTTTTTTTGAAAAATTACTTAATTGATAATTAATTGAAAAATTACTGCATTGATACATATGCTATATGATTATTAAGTAATTTTTCTCAAAAAAAAGGTTATTTTTTCAGTTTTTAATTTAGTTTTTTTTAGAAAAATTACTTAATAATCATATATGATATATGATTATTAAGTAATAATTATTTGCAAATAAATGAATAATAAATATGTAATAATTATATGAATAAGTAATGATTTTGACGCATCTCTGACATTGGTTTTGCCCAACTCGGATGTTTTTTTTTTTTACCGTTATCGGTTTTATGCTCAACTCGGACGTTCATTTTTTATGTCCAAAAATCGTTTCTGCTCAACTCGGACAATTTTTTCAATTTTCTGCTCAACTCGGCTAGCCCCCGCGCTAGCATTCTTTTCTGTTCCTTAATATTACAAATACAACATATGTATGTATGTATGTACATACATACCTGGTTATTAACCCTTTAGCCAGCTCCCAGAATGGTATCTTGTGTGATTTGGTTCCGCCTGAGAGTATTTAAAGTCAACTTTATTTGTGTTTTTTGTTTAAAAAATGCTTACCTTGGGTAGCCATTAGGATGTCCGCTGCGAGTGCATTGCAACTCCAAATAAGCAAGAAAAAAGCCTTTGTTTTTACCATGTTGCTAAAAAATATACAAATTTTTAGTAAATTAGCTTTTGACTAGACTATACCAGCACAGCAATTTTGAACCATTTGCCACGACGTCAAATCAGTATTTGGACCACAGCCGAAAATGTCGACTAGCTTTATAGATGGGATACTTAACCATTATGCGCGAGCTATTTAAGTCTCTTAATCGAGCGTTTAGTACTCGACCCAAAATTATATAATGTGTATATAATTGTTGAGATTCTGTTAAAATTAACTTTAATACGCACAGTGTCAGTTAAAAGTCAGCAGGCATTAAAATGAAATTCCACTGAAGTACAGGCAACGCAGTACTACTGCCAAAAGAGAGGTTGATCAAAGACGATTACCCTTTAAATACCCCCACTTTCGACATTTCAGTGCTCTACTAATACAATTGGTTCTACTCTCAGGTTTTTAAGAAATTACAGCCAATTTAGTATGCAAGAAAATTGATTTCCTTTTTAAAGTATACATATACACAAAAAAAAAAAAATTTTTTTAAACATTTCTGTTTAAAAACTTTAAAACCCAATAATTGGTTGCATATTTTTTTAAACATTTTTTTAAATGCATCAAAATTGAGTATCTAAAATAAAATTTCTTTTAAAATTGCAAATATTTATATTTTTAATTTATATTATAAATATTTTTACACAATCTCAAGCTTTGTATATACACGTATAAATTTTCCAAAAATTCTACTGATTTCAATAAATTAAAAAAAAAAATTGTTTCAAATTCATTCAAGGAGAAGAAAATCATGAGAATGTGACTTAGGGGAGAGTGGGGATAGGTGAACCACTTTTTTTGTTAAACATTATTATGTCTGAACAATTCGACGCTAGGGTCTGCTGTTTATAGAAATCTAAAAGAGCATTCATTCCTTTGCATTTAAAGTATTTTGTGAAAATAATATGTCACGTTTTTTTAACTTTATGAGCATTTTAAATTTTTGTCTCGAATGGTCCAAGTATCCCCACCCGTGGGGATTAGTGATAGAAATGACAGCAATTGTTTGACGCGATCACGCGTACGTGTGATGTTAAGATACCGACTGGATAAACAATACATATGAAGATGGTGCACAAAATCCTGATAGAAGGTGAAATATTACTAGTGGTTCATCTATCCCCATGGTTCACCTATCCCCACTCTCCCCCTATACCTCCAATCAAATAAAAAATATTCATCCGGAATAGCATTATAGTATAAACTAAAATGTAGTGACATATACCCATGCTATTGTACATGTAGTACTCTTTTAACCCGTGCAAATGCTTTTTTAATAGTTATAAAGTAGTTTGCAAAGCCATCGAGTTGAACTGTTCCTACGCAAATTAGTCTCTCTGTCTCAAAGCTTTCCCGCTGAATGATCACAAAAAGATCTGTTCCTATTACAGGGTTTATATACATATTACACTGTGCGACAAAAAAATGTTTAAGTTGATTTTTTCTTATTTTTCACTTCTACTAATCAAAATAAGAATATAAGTTTGTGGATTTGTTAATATCAATAGCCAATCAGCTTCTACGCACACTCAAATGTCCCAAAAACGGGCGTTTTTGCATATTTCACAGCCTTATAATCACATATTGGGAAAATATTTTTTCACAGTTATAAGCGTTCATGCAAGTTCAATATCTATTAATTAAAATGTATTAAGCAAATATACCGTTAGGCTTTTATCACAATGCTTTAAATTTTTTTTCTCCCAGCTCTATACTCTGGGCGACTACGTATGGAACTTGTTACGCGAGGATACGTCTGAAAAAGCCAAAAAAATCAGGAAAAAAATTCACTTTTAAAAAAATAATAGTTTATTGAAAGTAAAAAAAAATAATAATATTTTGTGTTAATTATTTTCATAATAATAATTTCATTAAATTTACCATGAAAAAAGAAATCGTATCACTTAAAAGTGCACCTTAACCAAAAACAATCAAAAAATTACATTAAGCAAAGATTTTGTTAAATTTTGTCGCACAGTGTTATATATCAGAATGGCATAGAACAGATTGGAACAAGAAAGGTATCTAACTTCGGAAAGCCGACGCTTATATACCCTTGCAGTAATCAAAAATGTCGAACAATCAAATAGTCTTACCGCTCGCACTATAATCCGACATATAAGGCTCGATATCTCGGTGTGTTTATTTCGGGCCAATTACCAATATGGCCCCAAATTTTGGGGATAAACTAAAATCTCCCCGTATAGTTCACATAGTTAGATTCTTACTTCGCGCTAATGGCTTTAAAAAGGACAACTATATGGTACTCTTTTACATATGTATACGTATATATAGGTATGTATTTATTTTTATAATTTCTCCGATTTTTCCTATATGATAGAGTATACCAATTTTTAAGCAATTTCATTTTTAAGTAAGTCGTTTGTATGATAAAAAACATAAATATCTGAAAAGAAAGGAAGCTAGCTTCGGCAAGCCGAAGCTAATATACCGTTGCAATCATCAAATGTGTCGGTGGGGTTAAGGTTTTACAATTTTTATACCCTTGCAGAACAAAAGGGTATTATAATTTCAGCCAGAAGTTTGCAACGCAGTGAAGGAGACACTTCAGACCCCATAAAGTATATACATATATATTTTTGATCAGCATCACGATCTGAATCTGTTTCTATGTAAACTTATCCCTCATTTTTAAGGATATCTTGCTGAAACTTACAATTTCACAATTAACTCAGTGACAAAACAAAGTTCTTAAGATCAAATTTAATTTTTTTTAAAGGTAAAAACCAAAAAAAAAAGGAATTTTACCATGTTGTGAAAGCGTTACCGTCTGATCCAAATATATTAAATTTGGATTCGTCTGCAAATATCACACTTTTCCAGAACGCTTATGTATGGCGGAAGCCCAATACAGAGCTTGAACCAAAGAACCTGAAGGCAACGGTAAAGCACGGCGGTGGCAGCGTGATGGTTTGGGCCTGTATGTCAGCTGCTGGCCCTGGAAAACTGACTTTTATTGAATCGACAATGGATAAAAAAGCATACCTTCAAATATTAAAGGACAATTTGGTCCAAAGTGCCGAGGATCTTGGAATAAAAGACAATTTCCGCTTTTATCAGGATAATGATCCAAAGCACAAGGCTGGAATTGTGCGGATGTGGTTGCTGTACAATTGCCCTCACGTTGTGGATACGCCGGCTCAGTCACCGGACCTCAACGTTGTTGAAAATTTATGGGCCATTTTGGATAATAATATTAGAAATTACCATATTTCTAACAAAAATGATTTAAAAGATGCCCTAATGAAGGAGTGGGGAAAGATCTCGTCAGAAGTCACCCAAAAATTGGTTGAATCAATGCCGAAAAGGCTGAAAGATGTCGTTGACAACAATAGTTACCATACCAAATATTAAAAACGTTATATTTTTGAGTTTTTTCCTTATTTTTTGAACATTTTTGAGACTGCATAAAATAAGCTGTGAGCTGAATATAAGCTGTATTTTTCATTTTTAAAGTTTTTTTTTGTGTTTAAGCCGTTTTTGAAAATAAATGATTTTGTTACGTTATTCTAAATAAGTTAATCTTTCATTTGGCACCTTGTTTATTCCAATATTCCTTATAGTTTTACCGCTATGGGCGTTTAAAGTTAAAAGTATGCACTGCATACTTTAAGCTGTGAGCCACTGTATGTATATTCTTGATCAGCATCACGATCTGAATCGAAATACGTACATATGTACGTCTGTTCGTCTGTCATCCTGTCGGTTACTATGTAAACTTGTCTCTCAGTTTTAAAGCTATTTTGCTGAAACTTTCCCAAAAGTTTTGTAGCTATTGCACGCAGTATTCACGCGGGAACGCTGCCGAAATGTTACATAAAACGAAGCCATTACCAAAACCCCAAAAAACTTGACTTCACTTCAATACACCAAACTCACAAAAATTGAGTTAAAATGCTATGGTACCGTGTGTTTGTCAGAGTGATGTGGTAGTAACTCGCTTTATATGCGATTTTTGCTATGTCGAACAGGATTTAAGAGGTTGAAAAATAGATGTTATCCGATTCTCAGACCTACTTAATACGCTCACAAAATTTCCTGAGAATCGGTATAGCCGTTTCGGAGGAGTATGGTAACAAAAAATGTGACACGAAAATTTGATATACATATGTATAAGATAACGGAAATAAAATTATGACATCGTTGTTTTTCATCAGACAAGCATGATTTTTGAATATTGACGACTAAATCATATAGCTGTCATATGAACAATAGTCGAAAATATGGAAAATTAATAGAAAAATCGTCATAGCTTCGATGTTGTTTAGCCTTTAAGTATTTAGTTAAATTCTTTTATGTTTGCAAGGGTATATAACCTAGCATAACCTAGCGTTTATATTTGCGATGGTGCAGTATTAACGTAAAGATACATGTATTTAACTATTTTTGAATGTAGCTAGTTCGTGCATGCCTTTTATATGATGTTGTAACGTTTACCAGTGTATCTAAGTATTTACATACGAACCTATATTTATTCAATAGCCAAATCCGAAAAACGGTTAAAAAACGCAGAAGGCGTATGGTAGTTTAATAACGTTTGTCATGAAGTGAGTACTAAAATATTTTCTACTGGTATTCTTTAAATATGCTGTTCAAATATTGTTAGGTACATAATTTTACATAACCATTAAAAGGATCGAGTCCACTAGAAAAACGGCTAGAAAAAAAGTTAACTAGTTACTAAAATGCTGCAATTCTAATGTAAATGTTTATGTCAATATGTAGGTATGTATAAGTTCAGGCTCAGTAGAGGCACAGTTTATCAAGCTATACCGGTTAGCAGTACAACATGCCAAAAATGGCATAATCAAGGCATTACGTCAAAAGTTCCCCAAAACAAACGAAAAGTTTCCAGTGCCCCTTGAGATGTTTTTCCACCTGTGACTAAAATTTTAATGCAAAAGATACATACGTTTCAGCTCAGCAAACTGGACTGGAATCAGAAAAGTGGTTGGGCTGAGAATAAAATTTTCTTAGAGAAAGCAGGTCTTCGCAGTGAGAGGTGCCAAAGTCAAAGCATAACGAATATTTTGTCAAGTGTGCACGATTGTATAAGCCCGCACTTATACGGCAATAGCTTTCCATTAATTCATTTTACTTCTAACATGAGGCGTTTTTCGGGTTTGAAGTATTTTACAGATTCAGATTAATATTCGGCTTTAAACAATTAAGTAATACAAATAGGTTGGCCGTAATTAAACCATTTTTAATTAAATTTAAGCCTATCAATTAACCTTTGGCTAGGTTGACACTTTTATTTTTTGACCTGACCTCAAACATTTGTAATCTGTATTTTTTCAGACAAAAACCTCTCGCAATTTAGCTCGAACTAGTCAAAATATAATATATTAATCAATTAAGAAAAAAATTTCATAAAAATTAAACACTAGGAAATATTGACAAGTGTATATAAAATGAATGGAAATTATAAAATCATTGTTTACGCGTTATTTTTATACCCTTGCAGAGCCAAGGTATTATAATTTCAGTCAGAAGTTTGCAACGCAGTGAAGGAGACACCTCAGACCCCATAAAGTATATATATTCTTGATCAGCATCACGATCAGAATCCAAATACGTATGTACGTCTGTCCGTCTGTCTGTCTGTCCTCCTGTCGGTTTCTATGTAAACTAGTCTCTAAGTTTTAAAGCTATCTGGTTGAAACTTTCCCAAAAGTTGTGTAGTTGTTGCACGCAGTATATAAGTCGGAACGGGCCGGATCGGGCGACTATATAGGATAGCTCCCATACGAGAAATTGAAATAAAAAATTCTTATTCCGTTGTTTTTGATCAGATCGACTTGATTCCTTCCAGATGGCGTTTTCTAACTGCTATTGAATTTCGGATTAACTTTTATCAAAATCGGATAACTCCATCATATAGCTGCCATAGGAGAGATAAAAAAATATATATATAAATAATGAAAAAAAAATTCTAACATCGTTGTTTTTAATCCCACTGCCATGATTTTTGGAACATCAAGTTTTAAATACTCTTAAATCGAGAAAAAAATTTCATAAAAATCGGAGAACTATATCATATAGCTGCCATAGGAAAGATCGAAAAATCTATATAGAAATAACGGAAATAAAATTATTACCTCGTTGTTTTTCATCAGAAAATCATGATTTTTGGAATATAGAGTTTTCCAATGAGTCTTGAGTTACAAATTAAATTTCATCAAAATCGGACGACTATATCATATAGCTGTCATATGAACAATATGGACATCGTCATAGATTCGATGCTGTTTAGCCATTTTGTATTTTCTTAGACATATTTAATGACTGCAAGGGTATATAAGCTTCGGCTTTTTTTTATCATTTTTCCTTTTTTATTGATTTTATAATTTGTATGGCACTTAGTATATAGTGCCATATAGTATAATAGTCCGATATCTATCGTAACGAATTTTGCTTAATGTCGAGTAAAATGTTTGAATGTCTAATAATATTAGAGCCATGAGGTTTTGTTTATAAATGCAAGTTATTTCTCCGAATGTTGTTATGACAGCTTTATGATATCATTATGAAGCTTATTTCAAACTTCATGAGTCGTTAGAAAACTGTATATTCAAAAAATTATGTTTGTTTGATAAAAAATAAATTCAGATTCAGATGGTGATGCTGATCAAGAATATAAGTACTTTATGGGGTTCTTTATCTCTTTGCAAGCTTTTGACTGAAATAACAATATCCTCTGTGGGGGTATAAAATATATGAAGACTATGCCACATAATTGGTAAAGATAAGACCGAACAAAGAAAAGATGCTAGCTTGGATAAGCTGGAGGCTAAACAACATCGGAGCTTTGTCGATTTTTCTATTAATTTTCTATATTTTCCAAGTTTGTTATATGACAGCTATATGATAAAGTCGTCCGATTTTGATGAAATTTATATAGTAATAACGTTGTCCGATTTTAATGAAGTTTTTTCTCGATTCACGGGTTATTAAAAAACTCAATTCTTTAAAAATCATGCTCGTGGGATTAAAAACAACGACGTTATACACGATCGACTAACTATATCGGATAGCTCCCATACGACAGAATAAAAAAATTTCACGCCGTTGTTTTTGATCAAATCGACTTCATTTCTTCCACATGGCGTTTTCTAACTACTATTGAATTTCGGATTAAATTTTGTCGAAATCCGATAAATCTATCATATACATAGCTGCCAAAGGAAAGATCGAAATTTATATATATAAATAATGGAAAAAAATTATGACGTCGTTGTTTTTTATTCCACGGGAATAATTTTTACAACAACGACTTTTTTAACTACCCTTGAACCGAGAAAAAAAAATCGGACAACTATATCATATAGCTGCCATAGGAAAGATCAAAAAATCTATATAGAATTGACGGAAATAAAATGATAACATCGTTGTTTTTCATCAGAGAATCATGATTTTTGAATATAGAGTTTTCTAACGACTCTTGAATAAGAAATTGAATTTCATCAAAATCGGACGACTATATCATATAGCTGCCATATAAACAATAGTCGAAAATATAAAAAATTAATAGAAAAAAGTTTTAGCTTCGATGCTGTTTAGCCTTTATGTATTTTGTTCGACTGCAAGGGTATATAAGCTTCGGCTTGCCGAAGCTAGCTTCCTTTCTTGTTTTTCCTTAACTAAACTTACTCATACCAAATTCTTATGCACGGGGCAATTATGTAACTTGCAGATATAAGATTCGTTTAACTATAAACCATTTATTCAAATTATACTTTTCACAGTCCCATGTAAATTTTGTTTTATATTGTACTGCACTTTACGACACTATGCATATGCATGGACATGACTTTTGTCGTTGTCGCTTTAACTACTTTTGTTCACGACAATATTTGGACGTATATTAACACACTTTCTCCAATGCAAAAAAAATTATTTAATATTCTACTTTATAAGATTATATTATAGCAATAAAAAAACTCAGGTTCAACCAAAAAGGGCTAACCAAAAAAACTGTCTAATAAAAAGTTTTTGAGAATCCATAGTTTGATAAAAAATGGTATCGCCGCGACGCCGTTATTAGCACATTGACACTGAGCCCGTTAAAACAAAAGAAACCAAAAGCACTACTGCTTTTCACTTTTCTTTGAAGCTTAAGCTCGTCTCTTAACGAAGTTTCTCCGCGGGTTAACTGAAACAAACTGAACGTTGGGCTAGCTTTTTGGGTTTGCTTAACGTGACACCGAAAGACCGGTGTTACAGCAATATATGCACACAACGTGTTTCGGTTACGTTTCAGTAACTTTGGTCGGATGGCACTGCATCTGTCGGACGGTATTTTTTAGTACAACTCAGAAAGTTTTTTAATTACGTCACAAAGTTGCAAAAAAATATAAATGATAACACCAAATTACATAACTAGACCAACACAAAATAAAGCAAATCTAAAAACAAACAAGAAAGGAAGCTAGCTTCGGCAAGCCGAAGCTTTTATAGCCTTGCAGATTTCAGATTCAATAGTAGTCAAAAACGCCATCTGGCAGAAACCAAGTCGATATGATAAAAATCAGCAGCGTGAGAATTTTTTTTCATTCTCGATCCGATCCGGAACGTTCCGATTTATCTACTGCGTGCAATAACTAAACAACTTTTGGTAAAGTTTCAGTAAGATAAGAGGACAAGAGACAGACAGGAGGACATACGGATAAACGGATAGAGGGACAGGCTTACAGATGTATTTCGATTCAAATCGTGATGGTGATCAAGAATATATTGGCTTAATGGGGTCTGAGGTGTCTCCTTCACTGCGTTGCAAACTTCTGACTGAAATTATAATACCCTCTGCAAGGGTATAACAACGGCGTGTTGATTTTATTGCAATCTCTCGTATGGGAGCTGTCCGATATAGTCAATAACTACACAACTTTTGGTAAAGTTTCAAAAAAATAGCTTTAAAACTGATTAGTTTACATAGAAACAGACAGACAGACAGGCGTAATTCGATTTAGATCGTGTGCTGATCAAGAATCTATATACTTTATGGTGTCTGAGGTGTCTGCTTCACTGCAAACTTCTGACTGAAATGATAATATTTTTGCAAGAATATACAAATGATGATTTTCTATCTCACAATTCGTTTTCGGATTATTGAGTTTTAACGACAATTGAATCAAAATTGCAATTGTATAAAAATCTGATCTTTTTTGTCATATAGCTATAAAAGATCGAATACCTTTAGAAAGTTAATAGTTTGAAAATAAAATTCTTAATATTTTAGTTTTATGCGAGAATGATGTTTGGAATATGGAGTTTTTCAATTTTAACTTAAATTACATGAATTTTGGTCGAGTAGATCATATAGCTGGCAAAGTACAATTGTTGAAAGTATAGATAATTATCTATAATAATTAATAGAATAATAATAGACGTTTTTTCCTTGAGATAGATGCATAATTACCACAAATATACAGGTCACCATAACGGCTGGACTACCGTGTTATAGAAAAGCCATTGGTGCTGTCCAGTCGTTATGGCAGTGCATATACAGTGTGTCACAAAAGTGATGATACAGCAGCTATTTTTTACTATATGTGTGAATTCCTTCATTATTCAACGGATTTAAATAAAACAAAAAATCACTTCAAGTAAAATATGTATTTATGAATAGAATTTAAGAACAAAAATAATGAAATCTCCAATAGTTTCTATACAAAAAAAAAAAAAAAAAAACGAAAATTATCCCTCATTTAATTTCCACAAAAGTCATGATACATTAGTATTAACATCGGAAAAATATAAATTAATTTACTATTCTAAGCTTTTTAGTACTTCGTCGGATATCCCTTCATTTTAATTACTTCCTGAAAACGTCTAGGCATTGAAGAAACTAAAGTTGTTATATAGGCGTGGTCAATTTTCGCCCACTCCTCCAGCAAGGCTACCTTGAGATCAGACCTACTCGTTATTGTTCGACCCCTCAAATGCTCCTCTAGTTTATTCCACAAATGCTCAATGGGATTCAAATCCGGACTTTGTGGAGGCGGCTTCAGCAAATGTGGAACATTATAAACGTGTATTTATGGCCGTGTGCTTTGGGTCATTATCTTGGTAAAAGTGAAAAGATGACCCAATACCAAGATGATCAGCACTTTGTTTTAAATTTCTTTTCAGGATTTCGATATACTTTTTATGATCCATTATACCGTCAATTATTTCTAGGTTCCCGACACCAGCAAAGCCCATGCAGCCCCATACCATGAGTCCTCCGCCATTATGCTTCACAGTTTTAATTGTGTTTTTGGGTCGATAGGCATCTCCAGGTTTTCGCCAAACTTTATAACGCCCGTCTGACCGAAAAATGTTATATTTAGACTCGTCTGAAAATATAACCTGCTTTCAGAACACTTCAGAATGATTTCTGTAAGCTTTAGCGAACTCAAGACGCTTAAGTCGATTTTTTTTTTGAGACATGAGGCTTTTTCCTTGGTGTACATGAGAGGAATCCAAGCTCTTTAATGGTTCTTCTAATGGTTTCTGGGTGAACTTCCTTCTTAAGCGTTGTAGCAATAGCTGAACTTATTTTAACAGCGCTCTGGAAAGGATCCTTGTCGATAATATGCTTAATTAGGCGCTTGTCTCTAACGGTGAGTTTTGGTGGACGGCCATTTCTGCTGTTGTTTTCAATGCGGCCTTCATTTTTGAGCCGCCCAATGACATGTTGAATTGTTGAGCGGGGTCTGGAAACTATTTTTGAAATTTCTGAATAGGACTTTTGTCCTTTAACGTGTAAATTCAAAATAATTCTTCGCTCTTCCAAAGTAAGCTCCTTTCGAGGCATTTTCACAACTTAAACTACGCTATGACTTTAAATGAATTTCACCACAAGTGAAAGAATTACACTGTGCGACAAAATTTAACGAAATGTTTGTTTAAGTTACTTTTTTGATTGTTTTCGGTTAAGATGCATAAATTATGCACAAAAATATCTATGCCACCTTCTAAGTGATAGGATTTCTTTTTTTATGATAAATTTTATGAAATTATTATTATGAAAATAATTAACACAAAATATTATTATTTTTTTTACTTCCAATAAACTATTATTTTTTTTTAAAGCGAATTTATTTCCAGATTTTTTTTGGCTTTTTCAGAGGTATCCTCGCGTAACAAGTTCCATACGAAGTCGCCCAGAGTATAGAGCTGGGAGAAAAAATTTTTAAAGCATTGTTATAAAAGCCTAACGGTATATTTGCTTAATACATTTTAATTAATAGATATTGAACTTGCATAAAACGCTTATAACGGTGAAAAAATATTTTCCCAATATGTGATTATAAGGCTGTGAAATATGCAAAAACACGCGTTTTTGGGACATTTGAGTGTGCGTAGAAGCTGATTGGCTATTGATATTAACAAATCCAAAAACTTATATTCTTATTTTGACTAGTAGTAGAAGTGAAAAATAAGAAAAAATCAACTTAAACAAATTTTTGTCGCACAGTGTTATATGCAAAGCATAAACGAAAAAGTCCCGTTACAAAATTTTAAACAGATCAGCTGCAATTAATCGAACTGTATTAACACTAATGTGTGTATCATGACCTGGGCTAACAGAGTTATGTTCTTAAAAACGTAAAAATATGTATGGATTTATGGACGAAAAAACAGAGAAATATGGACGAAAAAGTTGACAAATATGGAATAAAATGGATAAATATGGATAAATAAAGGTAGTATAGACGAAAAAAGGGATAAATATAGGTATAAAAATTGATAAACGTAGACGATTATATCGATCATATTAACTTTTTATGACAATGAACAATTATAAATCGCTACAAACAAATGCGCCGTTTGTCTCAAAGATCATTGCAGAACAATATGACATGTTGTGTCAGATTAGTAAAAACAAAACTACGGCGTTTGTCACTCAATATGTGTTATATGATGAAAATGAACGCTCAACATCGCAAGATGTAACAGGAGCATTTGCATATGCATTCAGTTCAGCAGGTGATAAATTCAGGATAAGATCGTCACCTTCTGTAGAACTATCAATGAGATTTCCTGCTAACATTCGCGATATATCCTGAAGAATTCGCAGATTCATAATTGTTACATTCGATGATACATATTTTGATTGATTAACGACGCAACGATGTTTTGTTTACATTATTTATTATCGAGTATAAGGCAAACGGTAGAAATTTCATAATATTTGAGCCAAAACTATCTTTCTATAGGTTTTCAGACACTTTAATGCTCAAAATATGGATTTAATGAAGTGATTGTGTAAAATATGGATTTATAGGAAAAAAGGCGAAAATATGGAAATAAATATTTTTTCATTTAAAAACATAACTCTGTTAGCCCTGATCATGACTTTTGTGGAAATTAAATGAGGGATAATTTGTCTTTTTTTTTTTTTTGTATAGAAACTATTGGAGATTTCGTTATTTTTGTTCTTTAATACTATTCGTAAATACATATTTTACTTGAAGTGATTTTTTGTTTTATTTAAATCCGTTGAATAATGAAAGAATTCACACATATAGTAAAAAATAGCTGCTGTATCATCACTTTTGTGGCACACTGTATGTAGTTTGTTCGCAAATTCAAACTGCGCGCCAACCTAGTCACGATGACAGCGCCGTTCGATTTTTCTTTAAGTTTTTCCGTTGATATTTGCGCCATTTATGAGCGTGTTTGAGCGTGTTTTAATTATTCTTTGTTTCTTTCAATAATGCCGAAGTTGACAAGTGGTTAGTATAATTTCAAGTGAGAAAAATATCTTTTTTCCTACAACCCCTGAAATTGGCATTTTTCGTGCGGCAAATCGCTGATTTCAGCTGTTTTTTAGGGATGCGTGCGCAAGAGAAATTACCAAACCGTAACCCGTGCGTAATCGGTATACAGGCAGTTTTGCACTCAAAATTCCAAATTTTAAGGGTTTAAGGACAAAAAGAACCGTATGTATCACTTTGGGTAAATACGAGATGA